TTGGCGAAAACTGGTCCACGCGGGAAAGAACGTGCAGACGCAGCGCCGTTGTGCAGGTGAAGTTGGCTCCCCACGTGAAGCTGAACATTTCACATCACTTTGCACCATGGGACAGCGCTCGCCGATTAGCGGTACCATACAGCAACTCTTGACCATGCCTGCCCATTGTATCATCTCGCAACTGATGATGAAAACACGCCGAAGTTTCTGAGCTCTGAGGACCGCCAGTGGTACATGGTGTATATAAATGGCTTGCCGTTCCAAAATTGTTGAGGTTCAATTTGTGGCATAATGCTTTGTGTCCCTCGTTGAAGTGCGTGAGGTCTGCGTTCGTGTCCGCACAGCCCATGTTTTTCAGGATGAATACATAACAACTAGCTTGGCTTTCTGAGCTGTTTCTAAGCTTGGCTTTCTGTTGTGAGATGCTTAGTGACAAGGCATGTCATCAAGAATGCCTACCGCCAAAAAAGTCATTTTGTGACTTCGTTCTTGTGTCTAGGCGTGCAAACTGTGGGTGCTGGTGCCACCTTGAAGTTCCCGCACCATACCCCGCCACAGTGGTCTATAGCTAAGGTACTCGGCTGCTGACCTGCTGGGCGCTGGTTCGAATCCCGACTGCAGCGGCTGCATTTCCAATGGAGGTGGAAATGTTGTAGGCCCGTGTGCTCAGATTTGGGTGCACGTTAAAGAACCCCAGGTGGTCAAAATTTCCGGAGCCCTCCACTACGGCATCTCTCATAATCATATCGTGGTTTTGGGACGTTAAACCCCACAAATCAATCAATCAATCGAAGTTCCCACACCATGACGTAGATTTTGACGGTCTCTGCTAGGTAACAATGGAGTAAAATTGTCTTCCAATCAGGCTATAGATTTGATAAATTAAGTTGCAGGAAAATTTCATTGGCTGGCATCGGCTCAATAAAATTTTCTGGATTAGAAAAAATAGATTTTGAAATTTGTGACGGCATGCGCCAAGATTTCGGCGTTAAATTAAAAAGAATGAAATTTTGGCGTTGACTCTCTCGGCTATTACGAGCCTATGATGGTAAAGCAATTTTCAGAAATCATTATTTCCAACCTAAACCAGCTCATTCCTTTTCTCCAAGGTGAATCGTGTCTAGCCCATAGGGCAACACTATTTGCCACTCATGGCACACAAACCTACGAAGAACTGAAATTCCCACACCCAAATAAATATCCTTGCGAGTATCAGACTTTGTATACAAGTAGCTCAGTTCTGCCACTTTGTCCTAAATGACATTGCACACTAGTATAGAAACTTAAGGGAGTTGGTAGGCATACATTTTTAGTTTAAACTCTGCACATAGGATGAGGATGAAGAAGAAACCAAGCGTTTGTTTTGTGCTCCCCTTTCTTCATCCTTTCCACTGCTTTAACCAAAGAAGCCAGGTGGGCCAATCAATAAAATTAACTTGTGAAGAGTCTGCGCATATCTCGAGCCTATGTTATGGTGCAGATGACACGCGTTCTCAGTGGATTTTATTGAGATCTGTTGACCTCAAAGACTTGCCAGAGTTGGCCTGTTTTTAAAAGTCACCATGACGTATCTTCTCTTTTGCACTGATTGCGAATTGGCATACGTTGGCAAAATCGGAAATTTATGCCGGCATGAAAAGCTGCAGAAGTATGACATCACCAAGGACCATGCAGGGACAGATGTGTCTGCAGATGATGCTAAGTAAACGGGTCAGGAAGTAACATGGGAGGCTTCATATCACACCTTCAGGCTGTCACTAACTTCAGGAGAGCTCCTGTCTGATTGGAAGATTTCGAAAGTTGTCCTGATATTCAAAAATGGCGACAAGCACTCGCCAGATAACGATAGAGCGACTTCACTAACCTGCATTTGTTGTAAAATGCTCGAGCTTGTCATTGCATCTGGAATCAAATAAATTTTTTTTCCCCAATCAACACGGGTTCAAGAGAGGTTTTTCATGTGAGACACAGCTTTCGGAATTTACAACAAACTCGCATTTCGACATGGACAAGAACTTACAGATAATAGTATATTTCTTGATTTTTGGAAGGCACTTGACCATGTAACCCAGTGCCGTCTGATTTCAAAGTTAACTGCTCCCAAAATTGATTTGCAGTCACTAACATGGCTTTGAAATTTTCTTTCAAACTACCAGCAGTTCACAATAGTTAACGATCTCCCGTCTTCCTTATGCTATGTTACTTCCGGAGTACCGCAATGTAGCATTCTCGGGCTGCTACTATTCCTAATGTAATCAATGGCTTTCCTAATAACCTAGCTTCCCGTGTAGGACTGTTCACAGATTATTGCATTTTATACCGCACCATAGTCACCCCCCCAATGACCATCGCATTATGCAGAATGATCTTCTTCAGGTTATTTTCCAATGGTGTAAAACATGGTGAATGACCCTCAATTCATCTAAATGCAAGGTTGTCTCTTTTACCCGAAAACACTTAGTCTCTAATTTTTCTTATCATATAAATTACAACCCGATTTCTCCTGCCACTACATACAAGTGCTTAGGAATTCATCTAACGTCAAACCTCTCACGTCACAACCATATGTCTAATGCCTCCCTCCAACATCTGCAAGCTAGCTTTTCAGACATTTGGTCACCCGCACCTCTAATACACCTCTCTAATATGATAACCCCACCATAACAACTTAAGCAATTAGAATTAGTACAAAATGGGACCGCTAGGTTTATCTCTCATAACTATACTTACAAATTTAGCATCTCATGTATATAAAACAAGATATTTCCCTTCCTACACTCAGTGCTTGTCAGGTTTTTGCGCTCATGTCATTGCTTCATGAGTACATTTATTCGGATAAACTATCTTCTTTGAGGCTTCAAGTTCCGCCTTGCACATCTCACAGATTACATAATCACCTCAGTTTCACTCGTATGTATGAAAACACTCACGCATTCAATTTGTCGACGCTCCCTCGTGCTATCCGATTGTGGAATTCACTTCCTGATTCTATTATATCTAAAAAAAAAAACTCGATAAATTTCTACTCATTTCGCATTACTCTTCATGAACTTGTCAAAGTGTAGTTTCTTTCCCCTTTTTTTTCTGGTTATTTATGTTTAATTAGTTCCTGCTTATGAGTGTGTTATTTCTTTTCGCCCATTCTTTGTACTCTGTTTTCATTTTGAATTGTCTGTACTTTTTACAAAATGTATCGTTTCATGTTCCCTCTATTTTGTTTCAATTGTGCATGCGTTGATCTACTCCTTTGCTTCTTTTTTTTCATTAGCCACTATAGATATTTTACTGTGTCGCAAAGCTATGTGCGTACTTTTATTCATTTCAACCTGTATAATAATAAGTATCCACTATGTGTGATAATACTTTATGATGCCCCCTTTACCCATTGCCTCTAACAAGGCCTGTAAGGACTTAAATAAATAAATAAATAATCTCGTATCACTAATTATTTAGACGTGGTCAATCAATTGGCACGTTAAATCGCGTTCACTCGAACTTCGCGTCATTCATTCGACCCAACCTATAGTGCCCTGTGCTTAGCCATCATTGCATTGTGAAGAATGATCTGTAGAGATCCCGAAAGATCATTTTATTTTTAAATTGGTCGGTGATGTGCTTGTCTCTTTCGTTACAAAGCCTTTTCAAATCGATCACTGGTGATTGACACTGAATAGTAGCCTATTTTGGCATGTTCAATTTCTTCCTTGTGCACTCAGCCACTCAACATTCAGAATCAGTTTGAATATGCCCGTTTTGGCAACATTTTTGATGCACCTTTGTGCGAACCAGTGGGTTATTGGGAAAATGCCCTTGGCTGACGCACTTGATAGTGTGTGTGATGTTCGTGGTTATGCTACAGTAGCATAAATGTCCCGTAGTCAAAATAACTTGTGCAAGTCAAGTATCAAATGTCAAATGTGTCAGCTTGGCAATCTGACAGTGTTGAATGGTTATAAATGCCTGAAATTTATGACACCTATTCACTAGAGAGCTGTTGCGTGGAGTCAGGGGGGTTTTATTTTGTTATATATATATATATATCTCCGTAGGTATTCGTGTATTAAGTGTGGAGGTGGCCACTTTTTCAGCCACTTTCTTGCAGCAGACACATGGCCGCATCTGGTGTCACGTGCACATTGGTGCGCACCTGCGCTGCGAAAAACACCCACCGCTTCAAATTGTTCTGCGACTGCACCTGAGTTGAGTGACAATGAGCTTTGAGTCTGAAGGTGACAGCACCTCAGCTTTAAGTTTCATGGCAAGGATGGTTCGTGTCAGCCTGAAACAGCCACAGCCATTCAGGGGTTGGTTTTGTTTACAGCCTCAAGTTGTCTTCTCTGCCAAAAGTGTGTTCATTATCTTATACCTACTCTAATTTCATGAGAGGTGAACACGTGCACCGGCTGAAGCACTTCTCCTCGTGACAAGAAGGCCGCCTGAGCGCAACTTGGCCCCGACTACACAGCGGCACAAAATGTTTTAGGACTGCGTGCGATATTGTTTTCGTAATACTATTGTCAAAAATTAAAATAAATATGCTTGGGTGCATATATTGGAACGCCAACAGGTGCAAAGAGGTGGCTCCTGGAAAGAGGTCACGCTAGACAAACTAGTGAAGATTATTGGACATTGGGTTTAGAGATGGATTGTTTGCATCATAGGCATTCATTTGTACTGGACACCTTCAAGCTCCCTTAATTAGGAAAAAAAAACTTAATGAGATAAGTGTAAGATTTCACTTGTGTCTCACAAAAAAAAAACGAAGCAATGCTTCACTGCGTGGCAAAAGCAGTTAAGCAGTGCCTTGGTTTAGATTTTCTTTGTCGGTGTTATTAGAACTTTTTGTAGAACATTTATTATATCTTATGCTATTTCAAGTCTACAAAGAGTACATTCTTAATTTTCTTTAAAGGTTGAATTTTTTTCTTCTAACAGGAAAGAAAGACACAGTTAAGCGTCCAGGATGAGCATTGACTATAAGCGGAAATGCAATTGTGCAGGAAAGTGGTGCTGTCCAATGTTCAAGCCAATGGCCTGGCCGTGTTTGGAGAACAGCTCTTCATCTTGGACCGGGCCGAACAGTGCATTCTGCGCGCCCATAAGCTTAGTGGCGCCGACATGCGACCCTTGCAAGCACGGCGGCCGCACCTGAGTGCTCTGTTGACCGTGCAGCGGCGGCCGCCCTCCGAGACGGCACACCCATGCACTGGTCACCGCTGTTCTCACTTGTGCCGCGCAGTGCGGGGGCGCGCTCAGTGCACCTGTCCCCCAGGACTGGTGCTGCATGGTAGCAGCGACTGTGTGGCTGCGGCACGGTGTAATGCCGAGCACGAGTTTGGCTGTGCCACGGGTGGCTGCGTGGCCATGGAGGTCCGCTGTGACGGTACCAATGACTGTGCCGACCGCTCGGATGAACGCGACTGCCCCCCAGGCTGCGCACCAGGCACGGAGTTCCGCTGTCGCGATGGTGGCTGTGTGCCCAAGCCACGGCTGTGCGATGGCACAGCCGACTGCGCCGACGAGTCGGATGAGCTGTGCTGCGGCGCCGATCGCTTCGCGTGCCATTCGCGAGACCAGTGCATCGATCGTTCACGTGTGTGCGATCGGCGGCCTGATTGTGCTGACCGTTCAGATGAGCTTGTGTGCGAGGCCGTAAGCAGTGCCGGTCGCACGGCCACCACCACTGTGGTCCTGCTCATCGTGTTTGGCTCACTGACGGTGCTGCTTGCAATAGGCCTCTGCTGCTACCAGCAGCGCACGCGTACAGCACCTGCTGCCGCACCGCACGCCGCTGCCTATCGTATGCTGCCGTACCCAAAGCCACCGGTGGCCCCACCACCGTCCAGTACCGCCTCCAGCAATGGCTATCCGCGGGAGACGCTCAATCCTCCGCCCAGCCCAGCCACACTGTATGGTGGCCCCACGCCCTGCTCAACAGACGTGTGCGATGACAGTGAACCGTGCCGGTGCGATGACTCGCTCTATGACTCTGACCCCAACCCACCACCGCCAACACCACGCAGCCGTGGCTGTGTCTCGGATGCCAGCTGCCCTCCATCACCGCTCAATGAGCGGGCCTTTTGCCATCCACCACCACCGTCGCCTGTGCCCGAGTCGGACTACTAAATGTTGCTCATTCTTGTACAAAGTGCCATCTGAAGTAAAACATCACATGTGTCATTTCTTGTGATAGATAGGACTTTTTTATTTAGCCACACCATGCAGAAAAAAATGCATGTATGGCACCACAGGGTGCTCTGTATATATTGCATCTTACTCAGTTGTATGTACAAGCAAACAGCGCATCAGCAAAAAAGCACTACAAACAGGTGGTGGGCCTTTTTGGTTGTGCATACCACGACCCCATTTTGTTAAGGTGGTGTTTGCTAGGTAGTGCAAGTGTTTTTCCTTTTTTGTACATGCGTTCAGAGAGTAATTCATTCTATACGTGCCAAGTTTCCTGGGGGACTCCTGGATTTCGGCTATTTCTTGCGTTTGTACAGTTCGCTGGAAATCTAGAAATTGAAATTTCTGTGTGTGACTTGGTCACATTAACAAAAATCCAACCCAATTCGATCCAGGCTTTTTTGTGAAACTAGGGTGGCTAGAATTGCAAGGTGGTATAAGCGTCCACGGTCCCCAAAGTGCACCAGCGCCTAAAGGGGTGCTGTACGCAGGACCATGTGGCGAGAGGACTTGCCGTGCTTGAGGAACATGGCTCATGCTGTTTTTTGCGTGCTACTCTTTCAAACTCTTATCGCATTTTCTCAGCGTGTGCAATAATAAAGGGCTGATTTCATCCCCTTCTTTAAAAAATAGCATTGACAGTCATTATCATGCAGCAGGCTGCATACCAAGGAGCACTGCGCACTAGTAATATCGTTCGAGTTTCTTTCTTCCTTTTTTCGTGCTATTTTGCTAAATGCAATTGTGCATCTCTTCGACTTATTAATGTCATATTTAATGCCTATTCACATTGTTAGAGACTTGTTTGCTCTTTAGGAAATGTTACTGTTCCTTGCTGCTGGTCAAAGCGGCGTGTGCGTGAAGCATGGCTGAACCACTGCCACTGAACTAACACATTGTTGGTTCATTTGTTTCTTTTATTATTGTCACGGGGTCATGGTGCAGAAGAAGGGAGCATACTGGATGTTCAGATTAAGCTTTTTATTACTTTTATTTTATTTACTTCGCAATACTGTCAACTCTCTTGCGAGAGTCCTTACAGAGAGGGTAACATAATAATAAAGTAAAAAAAAGAACACCATTAGCAAATACACAAATACAAGTCACATCAAGATCAAGCGGTACATTTGTACAGATCCAAGATCTGTTCAAATTTTGACAAGTCGGTCTGTTCAACAACACACACCAGCAATTCATTGCACATTTCAATTGTGTTAGGAAAGCTGTATCTGAGCCTATCGGTATGAATCCTGTACTCTTGGAATTGCTTCTTGAGCTTTGTTTACCTGGCGGCGGTAAGTATACTTCTTCACTAATATTTAGATGATCATTTAGTATTTGAAATAGTAACTTCAGATGATTTTTCTACCAGCGCATTTCTAAAAAATGCAGTCCAGAAGAATGGAACATTTGTGTAACTGACTCTTTCCTTCGATACCGGGAGGATATAAATCGCACTGGGTACCTCTGAATTTTTTCTACTTGTTTCTTAAATAATATTGATGAGGGCTCCATACTACCGACGCGTACTGAACAATTGACCTTATACAGGTTTTGTAAGCAGAAATTTTCACATCGGCTGTTGCACCCTCTAGTTATTTGTTTTTTTTCGCAGAAAATATAGCTTACCATTTGTCTTTGAACAAACATTGTAAATGTGTACGTTCCAGGATAAATTTTGTGTTGTCGTTAATCCTAGATATTTAAATTCAGTAGTATTTATTGTCTACAATGGTATAAGAAAATGAAAGACAGCACTTCTTTGAAGTAGTATGTGTGTATGTCAATTCAGAATAATTAATTTTCATATTTCATTTCTTTGCACCATTTTCTCAATGCCTGTAAAAAGCTGTTATTTTTTACTTGATTTTCTTTGTTTCATACTGTAGAATAAAATGACCAGTCATCTACGAACAGTTTAAGTTGCACACCTTGCTCCATGATGGCAGAAATGTCGTTGATACACACTAAAAATTAGAGTGGTCTCAGGACAGATCCCTGCGGGACTCCCGAGAGCACTGACAGTGTGTTAGAGACATAGCTCGGCATACTCACTCATGAGTACACTCACTCACACTCTTTCATACTCATTTGAATGTGGTCAGTGTGAGTATGAGTGAGTACTGATGAGTATGATTAGGAGTGAGTAGAACGTGAGTGAGTGTTTATGAGTATGAGTAGGAGTGAGAATGAACGTGAATGAGTACTTTCAGTGTCAGTAGAAGTGAGTATGAACGTGAGTGGGTGCTCATGAGTGTCAGTAGGAGTGAGTACGAATGTGAATGAGTATTCTGAGTGTGAATAGGAGTGAGTATGAACGTGAGTGACTACTCTGAGTGTAAGTATAAGTGAGTATGAATGTGAGTGAGTACTCTGAACGTGAGTAGAATTGAGTATGAACGTAAGTGAGTATTGTGAGTGTGAGTAAGATTGAGTATGAACGTGAGTGAGTATTTTGAGTGTGGTTATGAGTGAGTATGAATGTGAGTGAGTACTCTGAACGTGAGTAGAATTGAGTATGAACGTGAGTATTGTGAGTGTAAGAATGAGTATGAACGTGAGTGAGTATTTTGAGTGTGAGTATGAGTGAGTATTAATGTGAGTGAGTACTCATGAGTGTGAGTAGATTTGAATGTGAGTGAGTACTCATCAGTGTGAGTATCCGTGAGTATGAACATGAGTGAGTATTCATCAGTGTGAGTAGGAATGAGTGAGAGCTTGTTAGTGTGAGTAGGAGTGAGTATGAACGTGAGTGAGTACTCTGAGTGTGAGAAGGAAAGTGTATGAACGTGAGTGAGAGTAGGAGTTTGAACATGAGTGAGTACTGATGAGTGTGAGTATTCGTTAGTATGAACGTGAGTGAGTATTCATGAGTGTGATTAGGAGTGAGTGAGAGCTCATGCATGTGAGTAGGAGTAAGTACGAACGTGGGTGAGTACTCATGAGTGTGAGTAGACTTGACTGCGAAGGTGAGTGAGTTGCTGTGAGTGTGAGTAGCAACGAGTAGGAACATGAGTGAGTTACTATGAGTGTGATAAATATTTTAACCATTGCAACGGCGTCCTCAGTACGTTTGAAATAACGGGCTCTATGGCATGCAAGCTTACTGTACGTAAAAGCCTTCAGTTAGTTTAGAAACTGGGGGAGCCATCCTACATCAGATGGGGGGGGGGGGGGAGAGAGCTGACCGCACAAAACTCAAGTTGAGGGTAGCTGTCCATTTTATTGTAATTTGAATTTTCTAGCCTGAATAACTTTGAACTGCCTGTCCCTATAGCTACCTTTCTTGCTGCACTTACCTCTTGCCCCTTCAGTCTACGCAACCCACTGATAATACATGTAAAACAACAAGGTCTTGAGAAGCCCTTTAACAAAAATCGCCGCGCGAGCCTGTTCAGAAAAAAGAAATGCACTGCGCAAGCAAAAAAAAACGCTGAAATGGCCCGCGAGAGAAAGCACATTGTGTGCGCGACGCACATTGTGCGCAGCGATTTTGCAGTTTCTATCTCTGCTTTGTCCCTCAAGTGAAGGTTGCCTTGAACGAAAACCTTAAGTGATCTCATGACCTCTCAAGCGCGAAGCTGTGTGCAAACTTCACCTTCTCAGTGCCCCATTAAGAAAAAAAAAGGGAAAGCTTGGAGGACGGTTGAGCTTCGCCGTCAATAGTATAGTATGTGATAGCGCAATCGGACCCTGTTCGCAACGCCGTTTCAATCTCTACCCTCCCTTCAGTTTTCGGCAGCTTATTATGCCTTCAACAGTGCAGACACAATGTGCAATAAGTGCCCACTCAGCCTTGGTAATTTATTGTATCATTCACATAACACAGGCTAATACAAAAACACACATAACGCAACTCGTTATTTACCGTTTTATTCGGCTGTCTGCGATAACCCTGCGTACGCACACTGCCAATGAACGTTAACCGCGTCCGCAGATCCATAAATAAGGCCCCTACAATCATCAGTTCCGGCACGGAGCCAACGAAGTCTCCGCGTGAGCGCGACCCACAAAGGAAGGAAAACATCTCCTAAGATGCGCACAATTTCTCGAATGCAAAACTGCCGTACGCAACGCATTTTATCTGAAGGCGAGGCAGAAAGGGGAGGCGCCGTCTCGACGGTCGCGCCAGGACACAGAACACGTACCAGTGGACGGGCGGCCGGGGTGGCCGCAGCGCCGACGTGGCGGCGAGGCCTCGGCGCCTGCCTGTCCCGCTAGTGCAGTCAGAAGGGGCTAAGGGCAGTGGAACGAACGAAGCGGCCGAGCCGGGTGGCATGGCAACGTCATGGGTTCTGGTAGGTAATCTTAGCGGCGGCCGTGTAGTATACTGAAGCTGTCGAGAGCGTCTCTAATTCTCGCCCGTGCATCGTAGCCTACGAAAGTGCGTTTGAGTGCTTGTAACACATTACTGAGATTCTAAACGATGTCTCAGCGTCTCCTACGCGTCATGGCACACAAATAATTGTGCAGGTGCGCCGTAATTGCACTGAGTCATTGCCTGTTTGTGGAACCTACCGACCCTTGAAGAAAGCGACAATTGTTCAGCTCTATTGTTTATTGAGTAACCTGAGTACACATAACGCTACCTCAATGTTAATATTCATCATCGGCCTGACAACGTCCACTGCAGGACAAAGGCCTCTCCCATGATCCGCCACTCAACTCGGTCCTGTGCTTGCTGCTGCCGTTAGGTACCCGCGAACTTCATAATCTCATCTGCCCACCTAGCTTACTGTCTCCCCCTAACACGTTTGCTTTCTCTGAAAATCCGGTCAGTTATGCTTAATGACCAGCTGTTATCCTGCTTACGCACTACATGCCCGGCCCATGTCCATTTCTTCTTCTTGATTTCATCTATGATATCCTTAACCCCGGTTTGTTCCCTGATCCACTCTGCTCTCTTCTTGACTCTTAAGGTTACAACTACTATTTTCCTTTCCATCGCTCTCTGCATCGTCCTCAATTCAAGCTGAACCCTCTTTGTAAGCCTCCAGGTTTCTGCTCAGTAGGTAAGTACCGGCAAGATGCAGCTGGAATAGTGACAATCTACCAGCCATGAGCTGAGAATGCTTGCCGAATGTTCTACACCCCACTCTTATTCTTCTAGTTACTTCAGTCTCGTGGCTCAGCTCCGCAGGTACTACCTGTCCTAACTAGACGTATATACCTTTTTCAACTTCAAGTGCACTGCCACTTATCTCGAAGCGCTGTTTTCATTCGAGGTTGTTGTTCATTACTTTCGTTTTCTGCCGGTCATTTTGTAGATTACAAGAGAAGGAAAGCGGGAAAAGGGGAGAGAAAGTTTGGTGGGCAGGTGAGATTAGGAAGTTTGCGGGTATGAAGTGGCAACAGCAAGCAAAGGACCGAGTTGACTGGCGGAACAGGGGAGAGGCCTTTGTCTTGCTGTGATGATGAGTATGTGAATGTAAAAGTACGTGGGTGAGTGCGCCTGAGTATGGGTAGGCGTAAGTATGAAGGTGAATTCTTAAGCGAGTGCGGAGGTGAGTGAGGGCCTATGATCTTGAGCAGGCGTGAGTATGAAGGTGAGTAACTATGAGTCTTAATTGAGGTGCACGAAAAATTGAAGTACAAAAAGAAGAAACCTGGACACGGTGCACTGTCTCGAGGCGTCTTCATTTTGTAATTCAATTTTTCGCGCACCTCAGTTAAAATGAATTACCAACTCGCCCAGCAGTCCGTGTTTCTCTAAGAGTGTGAGTAGTCGTGAGTATGAACCTGAGCCATGAACAATGAGTGTGAGTATGGACGTGAGTGACTGTGAGTAGGCGTGAGTATGAACATGAGTGAGTACTCATCAGTGTGAGTAGTCGTGAGTATGAACGTGAGTGAGGGCCTGTGAGTGCTAGCTGGTGTGAGTATGAACGTGAGTGAGTACTCACAAGTGTGAGTAGTAGTGAGTATGAAATGAGTGAGTACTCATCAGTGTGAGTATGAACGTGAGTGAGGGCCTAGAGTGTGAGTTGGCGTAAGTTTGAATGTGAGTGAGTACTCATGAGTGTGATTAGGAGTGAGTATTCTGAGTATGAGTATAAGTGAGTATGAACGTGAGTGAGTACTCATGAGTATGAGTAAGAGTGAGTATGAACGTGAATGAGTACTTTCAGTGTGAGTAGAAGTGAGTTTGAATGTGAGTGAGTACTCGTGAGTAGGAGTGAGTATGAACGTGAGTGAGTACTTAGAGTGTGAGAAGGAGTGAGTACTTTGAGTGTGAGAAGGAGTGAGTATGAACGTAAGTGAGTACTCTGAGTGTGACAAGGAGGGAGTATGAACGTTAGTGAGTACTCATGAGTGCGAGTAGGCGTGAGTATGAACGTGAGTGAGGGTGAAGGCTGAAAAAATTGTGGTGAGTGAGTATAAGTGAGTAGTCTCTCAAAGTGCCGACCTATGGTCGGAGACATGACCATTCATTCTTACCTGCTAGTTGTGATTGGTTAAGTATGCCTTAATCCACTTTATAACAGTGGCATTAAGTCCGACTATTCCCAGCTTGTAAATTAGCTTATGGTGGGGCACCTTATTGAAGGCTTTGGCAGAACGTATGGCTAGTACACCAATCTGCTCCCTGCCATCAATTGCCTCAGCAAAATCTTGAATCGTCTGTATTAGTTGTGTGATAGTGGAGAATCCCAATCTGAACCCATGATGGTGGAGGTAAAGAGTTAATTTCTGAATAACCAATGATATTTTAACTATTATGTGTTTCAAAAGTTTACAAGAGATGGATGGGAGATATAGGCCAGTAATTATTTATACAGATACCTTCTTTGAACACTGGAATGACCACTGCTCTGCTTCAGTCTTGTGGCACAAAATGTTTTTTCAGTAGTTTCTCAAATATAAGTGTTAGGTAATGCGGCTCCTATTCAACACATATTTGAAGAAACTGGGTTGGTA